TGGGCAAATAAAAGGCAGATGGGTTTTAATTATAATAAATACAAGATAACGTATGTGGGTTATCATTATTTGAATTATATGTATAATTTTGATGGAAATAACCTTAACAGTGTATTAACCTTAAGACTTTCAAATGCTTTCTAAAAATCCAGATACACCAAATCTTCAACCTTACCCTCATTTACATAAGCAGTAACCTTTTCAAAGAATGTCAAAAGATTTATAAGGCAAGGTGGTTAGGGTGCTTGAGTTGCTTGTATGTTCGTTTCCCCATCAACGAAAATTCTCGCTCTTTAAATCTCACTTTTTTTGTTGGTAGACTATCCCTGACATGGCGGTTGGTGGTTTTGACTAAAATGCCTTATGGATATTACTTACTGTTGGATATACAAGATTGTGTAGTGTAGGCATTAGTATTTAATTTATTTTGTGAGTTAATATTTAATGATTGTTGAGTTTTTCATAACAAAAGAGTTAAAAGCAATTATTTTAAAGGCGATAGTTGTGACAAGTTTGGTTACACAACTCAGTAAGTTATGTTTGCAATTCATTGATGTCAAGGCTTCAGAAAATTCTAGAGGCCTCAGTGATAAACATAAATAGCGGCGACCAAACGAGCGGGAGTGGAGTAAAAGTAAAGTCAAGTGAAAGAGAATTTCAGTTAGAGAAAGGTTAGAAAACGTGAAGTTTACCGTCATGGGAATGAATAGCTTTAACGGTTAATGTTAAAGTGAGATTAACAGTTTGATAAAGATAAGGAGGATAATTTGTCTTGTCAAAGGGTATTCTAAACTAATTGAACCAGCCTGTGTGGACTTTGACGAAAATAATACAATTATTGGAAGTTCAGGATACAACTATGGTACCTACGAGGCAGCGAAAGTGAATTATTCCGTGATACTATGGTGACAAAAGTAGAGAAAAATAATTGGGCTTGTCAACTGGATTCTAGAGCAATTAAATTAACCTAAGTGGACTTTTGACAAAAAGGAGGGAACTTAACACTACATTTTATTTCAATGTGATGATAAAAGTTTGGAGATGGTTTGAATAGATAATTAAGAAAACTATTATAAATGTACGTTTCCACAAAATTATGTCATAATGACAAGATGGTGACATCATCTTGTCGAAACATTGTACACTTAATAAAGTTTTCTTCATTACCCATTCAAGCTGTTTCCATAGTTTATTTTCTAAAAAGTGGTTTCCTCGTCATAAACGTGATAAATAGTCCTAGCACTTTTATTTAGTGAATAAACAATTTAAATAAACATTAGGATTTTAACAAGTATATATCAAGTTATAATGTTTAAATCCCCCCCCCCCTCCTTCATGAAACAGTTATCTTTTGATACACATATTTAAGAACTTTCGTAAAGAATATTGAAATTTAGTAATGCAATCCATGTAAACATCGTAAGGACGTTATGTTTGAAATTCTATTGAGTTTGATTCGCCAAAAAAAAACGACACTATATTTAGTGGCGTGGCTCAGCAAAATGTAGTAGTGAGGCAACTTGTTTGTTTTTTGTTTTGAATTTCGCGCAAAGCTACACGAGGGCCATCTGCGTTAGCCGTCCCTAATTTAGCAGTGTAAGACTAGAGGGAAGGCAGCTAGTCATCACCACCCACCGCCAACTTTTGGGCTACTCTTTTACCAACGAATAGTGGGACTGACCATCACTTTATAACGCCTCCACGGCTGAAAGGGCGAGCATGTTTGGTGTGACGGGGATTCGAACCTGCGACCCTCAGATTACGAGTCGAGCGCCCTAAGCACCTGGCCATGCCGGGCCGTTGGGCAACTTTCTGATAAAAAGAAACAAACAAGCCATGAAAATCTCTCAGTTTTTGTAAATGCTAACTTTTTACAATAAATTCGATAGGGTTTAACTACGAAGATAGTAATTTGATTTACATATACAACGTTAATAAACATTGCTTGCATAATTCACAGCCATGTTTAGTTTTAAGAATCATTTCAAATGTTTACTTGCTTATTAGTTAAAAAAATATTTGCATAAAATTATTTTAAAGGGATTAATTGAACAAATAGTTTTAACTAATGCTGAACGAGAATTTAAAACTAAGAGCATACCTTTTCATAAGATGTACTAATAGTGTAGCGAATTGGAATTATACTAATGGTGTAGCGGGGCCGTAGCGATTTTCGCCCCCTCTACATTTTTATTCGTACATGCGTTTGTAAAGTAAAAACTTCAATTGTAGATATAATATTGTATAGAATTCAACTTCAACGTATAAAATGGCTCTATGGCCCGGCATGGCCAGGTGGATAAGGCGCTCGACTCGCAATCTGATGGTCATGGGTTCGAATCCCCGTTCCACCAAACATGCTCGCCCTTTCAGCCGTGGGGGCGTTATAATGTGACGGTCAATCCCACTATTCGTTGGCGGTGGGTGGTGATGACTAGCTGCCTTCCCTCTAATCTTACACTGATAAATTAGGGACGGCTAGCGCTGAGAGCCCTCGTGTAGCTTTGCGCGAAATTCAAAACAAACCAAACCATTTTCAAGCCGTTAGCGGAATAGTTGTATTGTTTCATGGCCTGATACGCTAAGGAATAGGCTCGATACATCGCAAATGATCATTTTGTATTGTGAGGCTATCGTGATTAACTGTATAATCTATTTAAGGTGGACTGAGTTAGCAGCATGTAGGATGTTTTACCTGTTATTGTTGATATATCTACAAGATACCTGTAGTTAACCTCAAATTAGTTTCCAATAATTAATATGGAAATTACAATTATTCATAGTGCCATTACCACAATCAACTCAGTCAGAAACACTTTGTCATAACTACAGTATTTCAGTATCTAGATAATACGGATTTCAAACGATGTTGGATAGAATAAGTGCATATTACTAGACTGGACGTCACCAAACCGTGAAACAGTAATACCAAATGTACAAAGTGTGTTGTGAAAGAAAGAGAGCCAAAAAAGAAGCGGTGTTAATAATTACAACACTATAGTGTTATAGGACCACCGAAAATAGTCATTGCCAAATGATGGAAGTAAGTACATCACTGTGGTTGTAGATTATTTTATAAATTGGCCGAGGTATGTACTATATCATACAAAAATGGATATTATTGTTGTTGAATTTCGCTGGTTATTATTGTTGTTGAATTTCGCTGGTTATTATTGTTGTTGAATTTCGGGCAAAGGTGTTTGAGGGTTATCTGCGCTAGCCGTCCCTAATTTTGAAGTGATAGACTTCAGGGATATTATCACCCACTATCAACTCTTGGGCTACTTTAATTGAATAATGAGACTTGACCATGACTCTTAGAACTCACCTACATCCCCAGTGAGGTGTGTGATTTTTAAAATTTTTATTCTTCATTTTTTTGCGATAACCACTGAGCTTTAGATCCACGGTCCAGCACGTTTACCACTGGGCCGTTCTCAGCAAACTAAAAAGGTGAATAACTGGCGAAGAAACTGTATTTATGGAAATTTGGTAAAAATAATTTTGATAAAGAATAGAAGATTTCATCAGTGATGTGTGTCAAAATGTGTTAAATAATTAAAAAATAAAACAGAAACAAACATCCCCTATTTGTCTCTGTATAAAAAATAAAAGCTACATGATGTTGCATAAGCTAACCAGGTATATGAAAGAGAGACCAAAGACATTAGACAAAAGCTTACCACTCTTGATGATAGCTTACAGAACCAATACATGAAACTAGATGTACTCTAAAATATCTCGCGTTTGGCCAGGAATTGAATAAGGATATGGCGTAGATCCAAAAAGAAAAACATATTTGCAAACCTGAATGAAAACTGCAATTATCTGTATGCAGTGGCAGAGAAAGGCAACAATGCAATATGTCAAAAAAACTAGTGTACTTAGTTGAAGATTGCTTATCATGATCTACTGTGAGAATGTGGTGATGAGAAAACAACTTTTTAGTATTGTTTGTTTGTTTTGAATTTCACGCAAAGCTACACGAGGGGCTATCTGCGCTAGCCGTCCCTAATTTAGTAATGTAAGACTAGAGAGAAGAAAGCGAGTCATCATCACCCACCGCCAACTCTTGGGCTACTCTTTTACCAACGAATAGGGGAATTGACCGTCACATTATAACGTCCCCACGGCTGAAAGGGCGAGCATGTTTGGTGTGACGGGGATTCAAACCCGCGATCCGCTGATTACGAGTCGAGCTATCTAACCACCTGGCCATGCCGGGCCCCTTTTTTAGTAATTGATGAAAGTGGCTGAATTGGCTTAGTTTTCTTTAAACAAAGAAACAGCAAAGCAAGGAGAATTAAACTTAGATAAAAACACCGACAAGAAGCTGGGTTCAAATCTTCAAAAACATTCGTGGTTATAGAGAGAGAGGAAATAAAAACAAAACACAGCGGAGACTTCTATGGAATGAAACTCTCAATCCAAAGTAACTTAATTTGGGTAAAATCTTTATCATGATAAAACATTACCTCCAGACTTTTCCACTTCATTGTCACGAATTATAGTTCCTGGACACGTTAAAGCAATTTTACATAAATAATTGTAAGCACTGTTCAAGACATTTAATTCTATGAAGTATAATGTGTCATTCATGTTTGTTAATTGTATTGTATACACGCGTTGTAATATACTGTGTTATTCTGCGTTATAAATAGGTGTTATTTGTAATTTTGTGTTGCAGGTCTGGCAGTTAGGGCATTTGAACAATTTTTTTACTCTAGTCTATAATATTATGAATTATCAAGAGGTAAACATTACATTATGCATAGGTGCATATTTCTATAGAATCTCTAAAAACGTTTTGCTTAATTGATCAATTAATACGAAAAGATTGGAAAAACTGTAGGAATACTTACGTAATAATGATGTTCCATTTTTCATGTATAATATAAACTGAATTCAAGTATACTATTCAATATCGTTACGTGTCACTAATAATGAGCTGGGATATTATATGATCGACTCCAGGAAGAAACCAGGATTTCCACGAATGTGTCTTCCATAAAGACTCTGGCACCTGAAATTAACGAGAACTCTGTTTCTCCACTACGTACTAAGTCTTCTAGGAGTGAAAAACAAGTCAATAACCCGTTAACATCGGAGGATGATACCAAAGGAACTTTAGAGAGTAAGAGAATATGTTATATAATTTTAAAGTTACTATTTAACTATATATATAGCTAAGCAAATTTTGATGAAAAATACTACGAGCACGGTTACAGAGTATAATTAAGTATTAAATTAATATTAAATTAAATTAATAAATATTTATTATAATTATAATAATTATTAAAAATCAAAATAATAATTAATTACATCAGGTACACCATCAGAGTCGGTGAATAGGACAGTAAGTCACAGAAAGCCAGACGATGACATACCCTCAGCAAAGTCAGCTAGTTGTCTCCAAAAAACGAATACATTTTTGCTAAATTACCGTCAAGACGGTTCAAATGTAAAGCTTCGTCCTTCTATTAAAGCAACTGTGAAACGCAACTGTTTGCCTGTAAACTCAGATCCTTATCAGTCTTCACAGGCTGAAAACTTATACGAAGCTCTCGGGACATCTATTTTTTCTCAATGTTCTTCGAAAAGTGTATCAAACAATTATGCTGTGAGCGACAGTTCAACCACCTCAGACACCACTGTAATGAAAAAGAACAGGATTGTCTCATTTCCACATACAACTTCGGAAACAGTAGAAAACACCAAAAATGAGTAACCATTACTCATACCTAGCAAACTTCGACGTGCAAAATCCACAATATCCAGTGATTGCAATTCTACCCATGAATGTATTCTAGAAGCTAGATCTTTAGCTAAAGAATGTAGTCCTTTACAAAATATAATAGATTCAGATTGTTACGTATAGAAGGCGTTATAACTAATTCACAATCTTAGCACATGCAAAAGTTTATAAAAGTTATTAATTAATGACTCTTAATTTCTTTCGCTACGTATATGGAAGGATCTTTAAGGAAATAAAAGTTCACATTTATTTTAATAAAAAGAGCGTAGGTATTTCTTTAAAGTACTTTAATTGTATCTTTATAACTGGTAGATTTGAGATTAATATGCTTACTAGTATTCCAAGTAAAACCAATTAATAGTTAAAACTAATATTTGTGAAGCTAGACTTGATAAGCCAGTCTACCGAGGATTGTTTCTAAGATAACAAACTTCCACTAGAGTACTTTACCAAATGAAAGTAACTTTTAACTTAATATTGTGTTTTAACACCTCTAAAGTTACAGAATGGGCTTATAAGCTTGTGAGTCAACACAAGTGGTCAGGTATCACCAAATGATCATAGTTACTGTATATTCTCCTTATATATATAAAATGTGTTTAATATTCGTCTATCTTGTTATTTTACTGTATTTATACTATTTAAGAATAAGGTTCCATTTTCCAGTGTGGTTGTTTATATGCCTTGTAAATTTTGAATAGGTTTCATTAATAGTGAGTATTTATGTCTCTTCTTTATAGTGAAGTTAATTAATGTAGGTATTCATCAAATATTTTAATTTTTTTTGTTTTCATTTACGTATAAAAGCCCAACAATTAAAGTGAAACATTGAACATTGTTATCTCATATCACAATAACAACAAGATCTTGTTGTATTAAACAAATTAAAACTGTGAATAGCTGTTCTTCTTTCACTTTGACGTACCAAAACTGACAAATATATTACCCCCCCCCCCCAAAAAAAAAGGGTCTTTGTACCAAAATATCTTAAGCTGGAATGAATGTCTAATTACATTTGATAATAACAATATTTACAGAATACTTTATTTTGGAAACCCAGTACTTGATACATTTCACAAACTTTAACAGCAACAATCTAAACAAAAGGTAAACTTGGAAATGATGTTGAATCTCGATGAAAATATTACAAGATAAAATAACCTTTAATATTATTTTCTGCACAAACTGTGAGCATATTTCATGTCACAGTTCTCCTAATAAAACAATCACTACAGAATGTACTGCTTAAAGATAAAACTTAAAATGACTTCTCCAATCTTCAACATAGACAATTTCAAGAACGTGAACCATAATTTTTATAAATATACTTTTTTTGTTTCTATCAAACAACATAGTTCTTGGGACAACATGGGACCTATTGGTGCATCTAGGCTGTCCCATTCTCTAAACTAAACCAAAACTATTAATAAATAAATTTTTTAAAATCTTAATGCCATCTCTTATCGTTCATGTACTTACCAAGCTTTCTCTTAAACTCACTTAAATTCACTACCTCTACAACATCCGAAGGCAATCCATTTCAAAAGCCAACCACCCTTTTGAAAAAATAAAACTGTTTTGGCTGAAGATGACTCCTACCCTGCCAATATTTACATTTGTGTCCCCTAGTACTACTATTCTCACTGTTACATATGAAAAAAGAAGAGTAAAACCACAGGAATTTCCATTTTAATATTATTAAATTATAGTTAGAACTAACTAAGTTAAATCTTATTGGGAGAAAAAAAAGGGTCTCCATTTTCTGGTATCTATCACTAGAGTAAATTGACACCGATCCTAAGACCACATTACCATAAATGTTGGAAAATGAATATCATTTGGTATGTTAAGTTTATAATATATTTTATTGATACTATTATGTAATACAGGGCTCAATCCAGATTTTCCATCATTAAAAACTTTGAAATTTGACATGAAGTAGCCTTGTAATAAAATGCATTTAAATTCTTACATAAATCATAATTATTTTAATTGTTTTGTTTATTACTAAGCACAAAGCTACATAAAAAGCTATCTGTGCTGTTTACACCATGGGTATTGAAACCCAATTTTTAGTATTACAAGAACTCCGACTTACTGCTAAGCCACTGGGGGAGCACCATGATTAATGTGCGCTACAGTAATTCATCAGTTTGTGTATGAAGTTCTATAATTAATATTTGCAAAGTATAGTTGTATAAACAATGTTATGCTGATTAAAAATATATTTGTAATTACAAAACCAGTACTACATATTTCACATATTTATTGGCTATTGTCTCCAAAAGTAAATACTACTGTATATTTTATGATAAAATAGCATCACGTAAACATTATGCTACTGAAACAACCTGGAAGGTAATTTATTAATAAATTTATATTAATTAAAAAAGATCAAGTAAAATCTATACTTGTAACAACTACTTTACAACATATAACAAGTATGACAAACTAATTTGGCAACACACACACAACTTTTATTTTTAATAAAGTACAAAAGAACAAAATACTCAAAATTGTTTGAATAAAGAAAAGGTACTTGCATTGAATATATCTTAAACAGTTATAACAGCAATAAAAAATAAACTTTCAATATTTTTAGGTATGTCCACATGAAAGATAAATGTCAACAAATTGTGTATTAACACTGAAATCACAAGTACATTAGGCTTTTGTTTGAACAAAAAAAAATGGTACTTGCCTTGAATATATTAAAACAGTTATAACAGCAATAAAAAATAAACTTTCAATATTTCTAGGTATGTCCACATGAAAGATAAATGTCAACAAATTGTTTATTAACATTGAAATCACAAGTACATTAGGCTTTTGTTTGAACAAAAAAAATGGTACTTGCCTTGAATATATTTAAACAGTTATAACAGTAATAAAAAATAAACTTTAAATATTTTTAGGTATGTCCACATGAAAGATAAATGTCAACAAATTGTGTATTAATTCTGAAATCACAAGTACATTAGGCTTTAATTTGTATTTTGTACACCAACTTTTCCTAAAAAATACTCTTAACTATTTGTCTTTTCTGTAATTTAGTTAAACACTTTAAAAAGGTTAAATAACTCTTGGTCTTGAAGCTTTAAATTCTATGGTGAAGTTCGTGCTTGGCTACAAGAGCTTCTAACAGCTTTAATTTTCCCTTGGCATTCTGTAATTTAAAGAGCAATGTTACTACATAATTAATGATAATTTTGTGTAACAAGTAATAATAATGATACTACTGCCAGTAAAAAAAAATCCTAGTTACTTTATCAGATTTTTATTTTTTTTAATTAACATTTTACACAATCATTTTTAACACATAACTGAGAAGCAGCATAAATTTATGGTACATACACAAATAGTTATGCATACATACACACAAGTACATGCAAGCAACATGAGGTAATAATTATGATATACTAAACTGAAATATAAGAAAAAAATTAAGAATTTGCGTGGAAAGCAAAAATTGTACCTTCTCAAAACTTTCAACACTGCACCAAGAATTACACTATCAGCAAGTAGACAATTTAAATGTAATACTTGAAAAAAAATCTGATATTAAGAGATACAATAATTAAGTTAAAATATTTAAAATTTCCAAATTGTTAAGCCTCGGCACTCAGCTTACAATATGTATAGCCAATCAGTGTTTCCAGAAACAAATTTGCAGTTACACATCTAATAAGTCTGAAGACTAACTATACACCTAAATCTACCTCAGTTTTTGCTACATAATGTTTTTCATGTTGCTTCCAAATACCTAAAGTACCTGTAATTTTCAGTCAGTTTCTAGTACTTATAACAAATGATGCCAAGTCTAGTTCATTTTTTAAAATTACATTTGATCATTTAGTCGGATAGCAAATTTTAAGTACTTATGGCTGAAAAAAGTTTGCTTCATGAAAATTAGCTATGTCTAACCTTTTTAGAAGTTGATTTTCATGAAAAGTAACTTTCTTTACAAATAATCAAAAATACAGCCATGTGTATGGAATGATATGTTGATAGCCACTAAAAAGTGATAGTTAAATTACAATAACTACATTATTTTAGCTTTAAGCTATTATTGAAGTCAAATTAAAAACATAACACATGTTGTAAT